TGAAGAAAAGGTAAAACCAAAGTCGATAGAATTACTTGTAAAAAGTCGTTTCTCTCCAACGTTCTAACAACACAACAACACTTGTCTGTCAGCAGCCTCCACTGAACGCCCAGATGCTGGCCCAGCGTCAGAGGGAACTCTACAGCATCCAGCACCGCCAGCGTCAGCTTTTCCAACAGAAGGTCATGTTGATGAGACAAAACATGGCGGGGGCCCCAACCGGAGCCATGGGTGCCGTCGGAACTGCGAGGGTCCCGAAGGGTCCAATCACGACACCTCAACAGCAGCAGCCGCAGCAGATGCCGCCGCCGCCGCAGCAGCAGTTTAACTTCCCGTCGGGATTTAATCCGATGACAGGAAATGCCCCTACCTCACCCAGTCACTTCACCCCAATGTCGGGGGGGCCGCTGGACAACAAACTGTTGGCCAGAGTTCCTCTGAATAACCAGACGCTAATGGGCGGTGCCGGCGTGCCAGGTCAGTTCAGCGGCAACGTCAACTCCTCGCTGCAGCCGAGTCTGTTCCAGCAGTTTGGTGGGACGGGTGAGTACTTTATTATTATTCAATACATTTTTAAACAAAATTGTTTCTCCATCACTAAGGTAATAATTATCCTGGATTATTTTTCATTCATTATTCCAATCTACAGCTATGGTCCAACAAGACCCATCCTACCCTCCTGAGATGAGTCCGACCAGTCCCTTATTGTCACCTCAAAACTCAACCTCCCAGAGTCCTCTGCTGCAGCAAGCCCCGCCTCCTGGATACCAGTCTCCAGACATAAAGGGCTGGCAACAGACAGGCATGAGCAGCAACAGGTAGAGAAGTGATGTCAGTGTGAGCAGATACTGAAGTCAGTGGAAAATTCACTCATGTTTGTCTTGGTTTTGTTTTTTCGCTGCAGTCTGTTTAGTCAGTCAGGACAGAGTGCAGGACAGGCGTTTGGCCAGCAGGGGGTGTACAACAACATGAGCATCACTGTCTCCATGGCGGGAGGCTCAGGCAACGTGGGCTCGTTACCTCCCATGGGGCAGACGGTCAGCATGAGCAACAATAACCTCAACAATGTGGGTGCGGTGTGCAGCGACCAGCAGGTTGGTCTCGTCATCGCTCGTCAGGTTTCTGTCCCAACCCCTGTCCTCAGAGACACTGCTAATCTATTTTCAGGTTATTTTAAACTCAGCCCATGGCCAGAATGAAGCACCGATAACAATTCAATTATTCCACT